CAGACACACAAGCAACCAGCCACCAGCAGACACACCAGCCATCAGTAGCCACACCACACCAGCAGACACAACCAGCCACAGACACACCAGCCACTGGCAGCCACACCAGCAGACACCTACCACCAGCACACACACCTGCCACCAGCAGCCACACCTGCCACTAGCAGCCGCACCTGACAGCAGCCACCACACGCCTGGCACCAGCAGACACACCTGCCACAGCAGCCACACCTGCCACTACAGCCACACACAAGCCACCAGCGCACACCTGCCACCAGCAGACAGCCAGCAACCAGCAGACACACCAGCAACAAACAGATACATCTGCCACCAGCAGACACACCAGCCACCAGCAGACACACCAGCCACCAGTAGCCACACCAGCCACCAGTACCAACCAGCCACCAGCAGACACCACCACCAACAGCACACCAGTGCCACACCAGCACCAGCAGCCACAGCAGACACCACCACCAGCACACACACTGCCACCAGCAGCCACACCTGCCACTAGCACCGCACTGACAGCTGCCACCAGCAGAGCACCTACCACAGCACACACACCTGCCACCAGCAGCCACACCTGCCACTAGCAGCCACACCTGACAGCACCAGCCACACCTGCCACCAGCATAAGCACCTACAGCACCAGCCACACCTAGCCACCAGCAGCAACACCTGCACAGCAGCACCAGCCAACCGCACCAAACACCAGCCACACAGATACACCGCACACCACAGACACCAGGCCACACAGCTGCCACACAGCAACACACCAGCTGCCACACCAGCCACCAGCACACACACTGCACCAGCATAAGCACCACACACCACCACCAGACACACACCTGCCACACATAACACCAACCACCAGCACTAAGCACCTAACACCAGCACACCTACCACCAGCACCACACCTGCCACCAGCAGCCACACAGCCACCAGCACACACACCAGCCACACCAGCCACCTGCACACACACCAGCCACACACACACACCAGCCACCAGCAACACACCAGCCAACCAGCACCAACACCACAGCACACCACCAACCACAGCCACCACCAACCACCAGCAGCACACACCAACCACCAGCACACACACCAGACAAGCCCACACCAGCCACCAGCACACACACCAGCCTCCAGCACAGCACACCAGCTCCAGCATACACACCAGCCCACACACCAGCCCCCAAAGCAGCCACACCAGCCACCAGCACACACACCAGCCACCAGCAGCCACACCAACCACCAGCAGCCCACACCAACCACCAGCCACACAGCCACAGCCACACCAGCCACCAGCACACACACACCAGCCACCAGCACACACACCAGCCACCAGCGCACACACCAGCCACCAGCCACACACACCACCAGCCACACACCAGCCACCAGCGCACACACACCAGCCACCAGCAGCACACACACCAGCCCCAGCACACACACACCAGCCACCAGCCACCACACACACCAGCCACCAGCGCACACACCCCAAAGCCACCAGCACACACACCCAGCCACCAGCAGCACACACACCAGCCACCAGCACACACACACCAGCCACCAGCCACACACCCAGCCACCAGCACACACACACCCAGCCACCAGCGCACACACACCACCACCAGCGTGCACACACCAGCCACCAGCACACACACCAGCCACCAGCAGCCAACACCAGCCACCAGCACACACACCAGCGCCACACCAGCCACCACACACACACACCAGCCACCAGCAACACACACCACCCACCACACACCACACAACACACACACACCACCCAGCCACGCAACCACACACCACACCACCACACCAGCACGCACACACACCACCCACCAGCACACACACACACCACCCACCAGCACACACACACACCACCCACACACACACACACACACCCACCAGCCACCAGCACACACCACCACACCACCCACCAGCACACACACCACCACCACACACACACACACCCACCACACACACACACACACACACACACACACCCCCACACACACACACACCCACCAGCACACACACACACCACCCACACCAACCACCAGCCACACACACCAGCCACCAGCAGCCACACCAGCCACCAGCACACACACCAGCCACCAGCACACACACCAGCCACCAGCACACACACCTGACAGCACCAGCCACACCTGCCACCAGCAGCCACACTTGCTGCACCTGACAGCCACACTTGCTGCACCTGACAGCCACACCTGCTGCACCTGACAGCCACACCTGCCACCAGCAGCCACACCTGCCACCAGCAGCCACAACAGCCACCAGGACACACACCTGCCACTAGCAGCCACACCTGACAGCACCAGCCACACCTTCCACCAGCATAAGCACCTGACAACACCAGCTGCACCTGACAACACCAGCTACACCTACCACCAGCAGCCACTCCTGACAACACCAGCCACACCTGCCACCAACAGCTGCACCAACCATCAGCACACACACCAGCAGCCACACCAACCACCAGCACACACACACCAGCACACACACACCAGCACACACACACACCAACCACCAGCACACACACACACCAACCACCAGCGCACACACCAGCCACCAGCACACACACCAGCAGACACACCTGACAGCACCAGCCACACCTGCCACATTTGCTGCAACTGACAGCCACACTTGCTGCACCTGACACACACACTGGACAGCCACACCTGCCACCAGCAGCCACAACAGCCACCAGCAGACATACCAGCCACCAGGACACACCTGCCACTAGCAGCCACACCTGACAGCACCAGCCACACCTTCCACCAGCATAAGCACCTGACAACACCAGCTGCACCTGACAACACCAGCCACACCTACCACCAGCAGCCACTCCTGACAACACCAGCCACCAACAGCCACACCAACCATCAGCACACACACCAGCCACACCTACCACCAGCATAATCACCTGACAACACCAGCCACATCTAGCACCAGCAGCCACACCTGCTGCACCTGACAGCCACACCTGCTGCACCTGACAGCCACACCTGCTGCACCTGACAGCCACACCTGCTGCACCTGACAGCCACACCTGCTGCACCTGACAGCCACACCTGCTGCACCTGACAGCCACACCTGCCACTCAGCTCATAAAAGTCAACTTTATAAAATAGTTTCTTGAAGTATGTAATTGTACACACATTTAAATTACACATTTTTGTGTTGTTGCTGCAGGATACAAGATGTTGTGAGTTACAACATAAAACAATGACGGCAACTCCTTGCTAAAACACCCACTACACAATAATTCAGATGCCCTGTTAACATTCCAACTAATAAATAAGTTGTACTCCAAGTTACAACCAAGTTCTTATATTGGGAGAAAGAGTATAACAAAGTTCATGACTGTACTTCAGCAGCTTTACTGTAACTATTACCAGGTTTTCAGTGCAATGTAAGTTGAAGAGTACAGTACGGCCCCGCTTTACAGCGCTTCGCTAATACAGACATTTCAAATTATGCCCAAAACTCATTATACAGCTCCTCCCCCCCCTACCTGACTTGCTAATACGGTCACCGCGCACCAATGTTTGTTTATATCCTCTGTTACCTCCATTATGTCTGGAAACTTTCCAAAATTTCAAGTATTTTAAAGTTAGTAAATTTTATATATACTCTGATAATTATACTAATGTGTACCTGTACCTAAGTAAACTTACACACTGTGCTGGCGTAACTGTACATATTAAAATCACTAAGAGTGTCTCACTAGTCTTGAAGACGCCATATTAATAATAATCGCTATGGATGCTTTAGATGTTGTATATTACGTTAATATAGACACTTTCATTAATCCGTGATATTTTTTTCAAAATCATACAAGAAACATGCTACATAACATACAAACATGTTACATACACCTACAGCAGAATTAATATGACAAATATGAGATGTGGTTACCAGGCTGTTTGTTATGGGTAACAGCAAAAATTACATTTTCTCTATTTCAACACCAGAGAAAATGTGTACACTATAGTATTACTGGGGGTAACTGAAGAGAATTATTCTTTCCGTATGCCTTCACTCACAGGGTCATTCCCTCTAAAAATGGTGTGCTGCATAAGAATGGCAATGTTGCTGTTATTCTACTGTACCAACGTGAAGACAACTTGTACACAATGTAAGGTGTTTGTATTGTGGTAAACGTTTCACAAACATATGTGGGAATGAACGTGTATGAACCATAAGTGTACAAGTATTAATACGCATTCATCTGTTTACATTCTCGGCGTCTCTCTCGTTTACAATGGCATCTAAGTTTAGTTGTTAGAAATGATTAAACTCAGTGAATAAGGTATGTCGATGGTAATAATAATTGCTCTGGGGCGCTTTAAATTGAAGTGTTATATTTGGTGTAGGTGTGGGAGCTACCACACCTGACTTTCTAAAATACTCACCTCTCACCCAACATTAATAATGTACTGTGTATGTATTTTACTTATTGTTTTTTAATGCCTATTTCTACTGTTTACTTCATATATGTTAGTGTAAACTTATCTGGCATTTATATGCATTTAAAAGTGGGAAAAGTGGCATTCCTCTTTACAGAGGTAGCCTGGAACCTGACCTGTCATATAAGTGGGGCCCAACTGTATCTTGTAACCATGAAAACCAACTGTTTTGTAAAATAATATTTATCCACGATCCCATGATAATAACAACGTGCAAGTCATGATACATTGTTAATATAGTGCTCCTTCCATTAGGCACTTCAACCTTCCATTGTTAAGTCCTTAGTGGACATAACATTAGTTGTCTTCGTCTCAACTCTCAATACCATAGATGCAACAATTCACCTCATGGTAGTGTACTCTGCTAAGACCAGCTTTTAAAACACCTTAATATAGCATAACACGCACACTGTACAGTGGGCATTGATGGTGTGGGTGTTGGTGTGGGTGTTGATGGTGTGGGTGCTGATGGTGTAAGCATAGATGATGTGGGTGATGTCTCACCTTAATTCTGGTAGCTAGTTCTTTCTCCACCCAGGCTGGTCTACCCACTGATCCACTGAACGATGAACGACCACACTTCATGTTAGGGCTGGAGGTGGTCGAGGTCTGCAAATGTATATTGCAACATTTCAACATAAAGTTGCAATAAACGCAATGTTCATCTAAAGAAAAGAACGGTATCAAAGGTGTTACATATTGACGTAGTTGATGTTTCTTCTTAAACTGATGACACAAACTGATGAACTTAGTGACGTAGTTACCTCCTTGTAATAACCAACCTGCAGTCACAGCCCCGGACCTGTGCCCCAAGCTGCAGTCACAGCCCCGGACCTGTGCCCCAAGCTGCAGTCACAGCCCCGGACCTGTGCTCCAAGCCGCAGTCACAGCCCCGGACCTGTGCTCCAAGCTGCAGTCACAGCCCCGGACCTGTGCTCCAAGCCGCAGTCACAGCCCCGGACCTGTGCTCCAAGCCGCAGTCACAGCCCCGGACCTGTGCTCCAAGCCGCAGTCACAGCCCCGGACCTGTGCTCCAAGCCGCAGTCACAGCCCCGGACCTGTGCTCCAAGCCGCAGTCACAGCCCCGGACCTGTGCTCCAAGCCGCAGTCACAGCCCCGACCTGTGCTCCAAGCCGCAGTCACAGCCCCGGACCTGTGCTCCAAGCCGCAGTCACAGCCCCGGACCTGTGCTCCAAGCCGCAGTCCACAGCCCCGGACCTGTGCTCCAAGCCGCAGTCACAGCCCCGGACCTGTGCTCCAAGCCGCAGTCACAGCCCCGGACCTGTGCTCCAAGCCGCAGTCACAGCCCCGGGCCTGTGCTCCAAGCCGCAGTCACAGCCCCGGACCTGTGCTCCAAGCCGCAGTCACAGCCCCGGACCTGTGCTCCAAGCCGCAGTCACAGCCCCGGACCTGTGCTCCAAGCCGCAGTCACAGCCCCGGACCTGTGCTCCAAGCCGCAGTCACAGCCCCGGACCTGTGCTCCAAGCCGCAGTCACAGCCCCGGACCTGTGCTCCAAGCCGCAGTCACAGCCCCGGACCTGTGCTCCAAGCCGCAGTCACAGCCCCGGACCTGTGCTCCAAGCCGCAGTCACAGCCCCGGACCTGTGCTCCAAGCCGCAGTCACAGCCCCGGACCTGTGCTCCAAGCCGCAGTCACAGCCCCGGACCTGTGCTCCAAGCCGCAGTCACAGCCCCGGACCTGTGCTCCAAGCCGCAGTCACAGCCCGGACCTGTGCTCCAAGCCGCAGTCACAGCCCCGGACCTGTGCTCCAAGCCGCAGTCACAGCCCCGGACCTGTGCTCCAAGCCGCAGTCACAGCCCCGGACCTGTGCTCCAAGCCGCAGTCACAGCCCCGGACCTGTGCTCCAAGCCGCAGTCACAGCCCGGACCTGTGCTCCAAGCCGCAGTCACAGCCCCGGACCTGTGCTCCAAGCCGCAGTCACAGCCCCGGACCTGTGCTCCAGCCGCAGTCACAGCCCCGGACCTGTGCTCCCAAGCTGCAGTCACAGCCCCGGACCTGTGCTCCAAGCTGCAGTCACAGCCCCGGACCTGTGCTCCAAGCTGCAGTCACAGCCCCGGACCTGTGCTCCAAGCTGCAGTCACAGCCCCGGACCTGTGCTCCAAGCTGCAGTCACAGCCCCGGACCTGTGCTCCAAGCTGCAGTCACAGCATCGGACCTGTGCTCCAAGCTGCAGTCACAGCATCGGACCTGTGCTCCAAGCTGCAGTCACAGCATCGGACCTGTGCTCCAGCTGTAGTCACAGCATCGGACCAGTGCTCCAGCTGTAGTCACAGCATCGGACCAGTGCTCCAAGCCGTAGTCACAGCATCGGACCAGTGCTCCAAGCCGCAGTCACAGCCCCGGACCTGTGCTCCAAGCGCAGTCACAGCCCGGACCTGTGCTCCAAGCCGCAGTCACAGCCCCGGACCTGTGCTCCAAGCCGCAGTCACAGCCCCGGACCTGTGCTCCAAGCCGCAGTCACAGCCCCGGACCTGTGCTCCAAGCTGCAGTCACAGCCCCGGACCTGTGCTCCAAGCTGCAGTCACAGCCCCGGACCTGTGCTCCAAGCTGCAGTCACAGCCCCGGACCTGTGCTCCAAGCTGCAGTCACAGCATCGGACCTGTGCTCCAAGCTGCAGTCACAGCATCGGACCTGTGCTCCAAGCTGCAGTCACAGCATCGGACCTGTGCTCCAAGCTGCAGTCACAGCATCGGACCTGTGCTCCAAGCTGCAGTCACAGCATCGGACCTGTGCTCCAAGCTGCAGTCACAGCATCGGACCTGTGCTCCAGCTGTAGTCACAGCATCGGACCAGTGCTCCAGCTGTAGTCACAGCATCGGACCAGTGCTCCAGCTGTAGTCACAGCATCGGACCAGTGCTCCAGCTGTAGTCACAGCATCGGACCAGTGCTCCAGCTGTAGTCACAGCATCGGACCAGTGCTCCAGCTGTAGTCACAGCATCGGACCAGTGCTCCAGCTGTAGTCACAGCATCGGACCAGTGCTCCAGCTGTAGTCACAGCATCGGACCAGTGCTCCAGCTGTAGTCACAGCATCGGACCAGTGCTCCAGCTGTAGTCACAGCATCGGACCAGTGCTCCAGCTGTAGTCACAGCATCGGACCAGTGCTCCAGCTGTAGTCACAGCATCGGACCAGTGCTCCAGCTGTAGTCACAGCATCGGACCTGTGCTCCAGCTGTAGTCACAGCATCGGACCTGTGCTCCAGCTGTAGTCACAGCATCAGACCTGTGCTCCAGCTGTAGTCACAGCATCAGACCTGTGCTCCAGCTGTAGTCACAGCATCAGACCTGTGCTCCAGCTGTAGTCACAGCATCAGACCTGTGCTCCAGCTGTAGTCACAGCATCAGACCTGTGCTCCAGCTGTAGTCACAGCATCAGACCTGTGCTCCAGCTGTAGTCACAGCATCAGACCTGTGCTCCAGCTGTAGTCACAGCATCAGACCTGTGCTCCAGCTGTAGTCACAGCATCGGACCTGTGCTCCAGCTGTAGTCACAGCATCAGAGTTGTGCTGCAGATGTAGTCACAGCATCAGAGCTGAATTGCAGGTGTAGTCACAGCAACAGAGCTGCACTGCAGGTGCAGTCACAGCAACAGAGCTGTGCTGCAGGTGCAGTCACTGCAACAGAGCTGCACTGCAAGTGCAGTCACAGCAGCAGAGCTCCACTGCAGGTGCAGTCACAGCAGCAGAGCTGCACTGCAGGTCCAGTCACAACAGCAGAGCTGCACTGCATGTGCAGTCACAGCAACAGAGCTGCACTGCAGGTGCAGTCACAGCAGCAGAGCTGTGCTGCAGGTGCAGTCACAATAGCAAAGCTGCACTGTAGGTGTAGTTACAGCAGCAGACCAACACTGCCAGTGTAGTTATGGCAGCAGACCAACACTAATGTAGTTACCGCAGCAGATCAACACTGCTGGTGTAGTTACAGCAGCAGACCAACACTGCTGGTGTAAAGTAAAAGGACACAAGTGCAACTAATGCGACATATTACTGAGGCAACGTTTCACTCTCCAGGAGCTTTGTCAAGCCGTTACAAACAGTACACGGACACAGAGGGTACATATAGGCTCAGAGTGAAGTGCAATGCTAGTAGTAGTAGTAGTAATACAATATGGTAGAACAATTAACTTGTACATGAGTAAAAGGATATAAAAGCTATTACTTGGGTAACATAAAAATAGGTTAGGCAAATATTTCTATTGGAGGCTGGATAGAGAAGGCCTGTTTTTATGTTCATTCTTTGTAATGTGCTTGGGTAGCATTAGCAGGAGAGACTATGTGATGGCAGGGTTTACTGTTTTCAGGAGGATTCTTGCTAAGACTTCAGAGATGGTGAAGCTGCCTTTGTTTTGTTTAATTGTATTAGAAACAGCGATCAGTGCTGATTCAAGGCACTTGCGTCTGTGGAAATTATTTTCTTTGATCACTAATTGGGCGTCCCAGAATTTCATGAGATGACTGGTGGAATTGTGTTGTACACAGGCGTTATTCAAGTTATCGTTCCTACATGCATAAATGTGTTCAATGAGGCGGGTGTTGAGGTTTCTTGCCATTTCACCTACACAAATCTTGTCGCAGACTCCACAGGGTACAGTGTAAACCCCTGCGTTGACTGGTTCGTGGTGCTTTGATTTTGTCCTTGTTAGATACTTTATTGAAGCGCTGGAAGCGATGGCGACTCTGGTGTTAGCCACTGGGAACAACTTGACAGTCACTGGACCTCTGTCGCACCAAAAATCTGTCCATAGAGCTCTGTACCTTGCGTTCCTTTAAGATTTTCCTAAAATGGGCCACAACACTGTCATTGTAAAAGTCACCAGCATGGCTTGCAATAGCTACTTCAGGGTGATGTTCTTCCATAAAAGTTTGCACTTCAACCCACTTTGCACAAATGTCCTTAATCCATTTCTCTCTCTCCTCTCCTCTGAAGCAATTTCTTCTGTTGTGGTTTCTTGCTGTTGCAGATGCTCTCGCAGCTCATCAGTGGTTAGTTCTTCATCATCGTCCTCCACTAACTCTTTCACATCCTCCCCAATGACCTCCAACCCCATGGACTTCCCCAATGACCTCCAACCCCATGGACTTCCCCAATGACACAATAGATTCCACAACTGGCATAGGCTCCTTAGGGTCAGCCCCAAACCCTTCAAAATTCCACTCTTGTACACATTCTGGCCACAATTTCCTCCAAGCAGAGTTCAAGGTCCTGTTAGTCACTCCCTCCCAAGCCTTACCTATAACATTTATGCAACTGAAGATACTAAAGTGACCTTTCCAAAACTCTCTTAGGGCCAATTCAGTGTCTGAGGTCACTTCAAAGCACTTCTGAAACACTGTTTTGGTGTACAGTTTTTTTGAAATTTGAAATGACCTGCTGGTCCATGGGCTGGAGGAGAGGAATGATATTAGGAGGCAAAAATATCACTTTTATGAAGCTCAGCTTCCCCACAATTCGCTCTGGCAAGTCTGAAGGATGAGCAGGAGCATTGCCTAATACCAGGAGGAACTTGAGGTCAAAATTTATTTTCCAGGAGGTAATTTTTCACAGTGGGGCCAAACACATGGTAGAACCAATCATAGAAAATGTCCC